TCCCATGTACCCATGTCAGCAGCAACTGTTGACCACTTAGGTGGCAAGGGTTCCAGAGTGGACACTGGCCGAGGTTGAGGTCTTTTTCTTTCAACACAAACAGGGCATTCAAATTGTTCAGCCAGCTCTAACACTCGCCTATCAACCCCCCTACGCCGAAGAGACTGCAGCAAATGACGAACCGGACCATGACCCGTGGCTGAGTGCAAAAGATACAGTTTTCGTTTCACCTCCTCTTTTTCCGCCGCACTCAATGGGGCTCGCAATGAATCTCCTGCAGCATGAGCATGTTCACTGGGTTGTTCCCTCATAGGTGTCCTAATAGCCTCATTGGGGGAAATGGAAGCCGGGACCATATGTTGAGTTTCAGTAGCCACATGGGGGTGTTTCCTAGGACCCTCGGCATTTGGGAGATGGACTTTTGGGGTTCCCCCTACTGGATGAGCTTCGACCGCATCACAGTGTTGGTGATCTCCCTTCGAACAACTTTGGTTGTCATTTCCCCTCAAAATTCCCAGTTGGTGGTGGTTACACATGCCACAAGTGAGATTGGCTTCGTGTCGTTGACCCTCAGGGCATAAGCATGAGATCCCATTGCCAAAAGCATCCAACAAGGTGGTAACCCCTTGCAACTCCCCACGCACTTCCTCACGGCTACAACCCTTTTTTATGGCTTGACAAACCCTGGTGGCAAAACCCTGGGGGTAAAAAGCCGTGCCGCTCGTGACTGACCCTTCACACTTCACATGTTCAACATGTTTCGGGCATTTACATGGCAACTCCATTCTTTGAGCCAGCAGGGAGTGAGTGGTCATCAAATTCCAACCCTTGGACACGAACTGGTCATTTTTGTCAACCAAACCTACCTGGCAGCCTCGAACAACCGCAAAAAAGGGGTTATACTTAGCAACCAGTTTCTGCATGAAAGGCAACCGCCACCCTTGACAGCTTTGTGACCACTCCCATGTCGCATGGATACCCTTTTGAATGCAATAACTGTAAATCAAAGCACACCCCACGTATTGACGCAAGGCATCACGTCGCTTTTCTTGGAGTTCTTCACACTGCTTTGGGGTACGCTGGTTGATTTGTTGCATCACTGAGTAAGGACCACAAATGGGAGACAACCACACATGTTCGGGATTGGTTTGGTCAATCACCTGAATGATTTTCCTAACCCCAGCATTGGTGGACAGGTCAAACCCATTAAACAGGGAGCATCGGCGGGCTGACATTTCATCTTTTGTGAGGCGCTGCATAGTCTCAGTGAGAATGCTTTCATTGGAACAGGCCACTTCCAGTAGCTTGAGACGGCCCTCTGATACCAAGGATCCAAAAGCCTCAGGGAGCATGTCATCAGACTGAAAAGCTAACTGTCGAGCCTTGTGCTCCGGCAAAGGCTCCCATGTGGCTCCCTGTGATACATCTATTGTACATTGGAACTGGCAGATCCTATCCCTCAGGGCCGGACTCTCACGCTCAGTGGTGCTCAGGGGGAAAGGACCCTGAAGGAGCCCTCGGTCATCTGCTCGTCTGGCTTCTCGGTCTTCTTGCGAGGGCGTTCCTCCCGAAGAGCAGCCACCTCCTCTTGGAGAGACTGGATCATCTGGATCAGGGCCTCGTTCGACTTCGAGCTGCTGTCTGATGCGACAGATGCCGCCGCTGCTGCTTGCTTCCGAGCGCCCTGAGACTTGGCATTCGGCGCTTTCTTGGCCTCTTTGGCTGGTTCGGCTTGGCGGCTCTCCAACCATTTCGCCAGGCGCAACAGCCGGTAATCGGCTTGGCCCTCGGAGGCAGTCTGCAGCACCCATTTCACATATCCGGGCTCCGTCATGAACAGCTCCTCGTAGGACAGGGCACTGTGGGCTCCAAAACCCGTGGGGTCGTGAGGAGTCGGCGGTGTGATCTCGTAGATCTTGCGAAGGCATGCCTTCTGCAGCTGGGCAATGGTCTCGTTCCCGGTCACATGCATCTGCAGACGGGTTCTGGTGAACTCCTGCAGGTCGGCCTTTTTCTTGCTGCACTTGTTCATTTCGATGGCCAACACTCGAAAGGGTGTGTTCCTTTTTCCAGAGCTCTGAAGGGTCATGCCTTGCTCCTCCTTGATCTCTTGGATCCTCACCTTCATCTCGGGAATGGTCCACGACGAGGGGACCTCCTCGCCCAAGCCCCGCAGCTCGAGGATGTAGTCCTCCTTGTTCATGCGCGCGGAAGGCATGGCCGTTGAAGGCACTGGTGGCTGTCCCTGCACCGTTTTGGTCGCAGAGTTTGTGAGCACTTGCAAGAGCAGCGACATCAGGAGGGTCAGGGGGTTTTTCCCTTAAAAAGGCCGTTTCTCCCTCATGACCGGTGGTAACACAAACAGAACCCTCAACACCATAAACAACCTCATGACTTTCACCCCTATCTTTGTCACCATCATCAAGTTCCATCTCATGAACCTTTGACAAAAACTTGCCTGTCGCTTTGCTAGGCACCTTACTTTCCTGGGCAGGCACTGGGAAAGCAAGGAGTTGTCCCTAGATATATTCACGCAGGCTAGGGATTGACCGGTCAGAGGTCTTTGAGTCCTCGTACCAGTCCTGTGTCAAAGGGAGAAGCTGGTGACCCGTGCAAGATCTTTCCAACTGGATGACCTTTTTGTCATTCAGAGACCTGAAACACACCAGATCTTCAGCAAAATCTATCACGGCTCCTAAGGCTCTCAGAGAGGCAATGCTGAAGAGGACAGGTCCTTCGCCACTGTCGAGCGCATGGATCTGTAGGTGACCCTCACGACCATCAGCTTCGATCTTGAAGGCGGCAGTCGACACGCACTGATTGCGGGTGGAATTGCCAAAACCAAAGGTGGGTCTCTCATCCAGGTTCAGGCTCTTCAATCCATTGGATCCATTGCGCTCGTAGTTGAGCTCCATGAGGCGCTCCAAGGCTCGAACTGAGCCGATGGTGCGAGTAGCACCTCCATCCAGCACTGCCTTACCTTGACTCACCACATCTTCCGTTGAGGGAGGTGCTGCTGCGTATACACTGCAGGTGGAGGCATTCTCAACCAAGTTGCCCTGGGCAGACTCTGGAAGGTCGTCCTCGGCGAAACACACAAAAGGAGCAGTGTGCTCCTCAGATGCTGTGGCGGCTGTCGAGGTTGCCTTTGGACAATTGGCTGTCCGGTGATCGCCACCACATCGCAGGCAGGTGCCTGTACCCTTGTGATCATGTCCTTTGCCTGAGCCCTTTGGGCCAGACCGGAACGTAGTCTTGTAGTATTTCCTGGACATGCGCACTTGGTGTTGTTTCTCACGAGCTTCTCGGAGGGTTCTGCGGCCATTTTGCATCGCCAGCAGGGCACGATCAACTTCTTCTTGGGCAGCAACAACCAGAGCTTGTCCTTCCTCATTGAGGTCATCCATGGCGATGAACGCATTGTCATCTTCACCAGAGTCAGCTTCATCCATCCACCAGCCACTCTGGCGGTTGTTCTGATCTCGTCGACGAAGATCATCATCTGGCCATTGATTGCGAAGTTCCTGAGCCACCCGGTCAAAGCTGAAGTCCTGCTTGATGGCTGCGAGGATCATGTTGCGCTCGCCAGTGTCCAGGCCTGAGTCCCCCAAGAGGTACCAGCCTTGGATCATGTCGGGCAAGATCTCTGGAGCTTCGGTCCTCCAGTCAGCGTCATCAGAGTGCCAGGCTGTCTGACTCCAGGCATCGTATCCCCACCATTGATCCCATGCACCAGAGCTGGACTGCCAACCTTGGTGGGTGTCACGGCTCTGTGAGGAGCGAGCCCAAGGGTCATCTTCCTCAGGCTCCACGGCGTTCTGGCTCTCCTCATTCTCTCCGACTTCTTCTTCTTCGAGCACTGAGGGCGTAGCCGAGGTAGTAGATCTCTGCCACTGGAGGTCAGGCCTCGATGTCACTCGTGAAGAGGCTCCAGACCATCGGCTCGAGGTCTGTCCATAGGCCTTCAAAACTCGGCCAAGCGACTGCTGAGCCCGGGTGTATGTCTCGGTCTTTCGGGTGATGTAGTCGTTCATTGTTTCTCCCCGTCGGCGTCTTCCTTGTTTGAAGTAACGCGTCAGGTATTCTGTGAGTTCAGGTAGTTGAGGAAGTCCTAGTCGACTTCGCAGATGCTCCATGAGCTTGACCACACCCCCATTGTAGGACACCCAGTCATGCCTTTTTCCCAAGACATATCGTCGGGCGGTGCCTGTGAGTTCTGCCACCAGCCGAGGAGCGCTCAGGTATCGCTTGTGAGAGGCGATCCCCTGCTCCCACAAAAGCGATGCTTCTTCGTACTCCTGGAAGGTGGCTGCATCACCGTCCCAAATTGGGACGCCATCTTTTGACTTTTCTATCTTCTTTTGTCTTTAGTTGGTTTGTCTTTTTGGGTTGGGGGGGGAGGGGTTTGGTGGGTGGTGTTTTTTTGTTTTTTGTTTGTCTTTCCATCTAGTCCACTTGTATGCCCCCGACGGCTCTGGCAGTCGGGGCCTTTCGTCCCTGGATCCTTCTTTCTCACGCCCCCTTGGGGGCTCCGCTACCGTGCAAGCGGACTAATGGCACAGGCTATTATGGCTGCTGCAAGAGAGGGGACACCACTCGGAAGGGGCAAAGCGCCTTGCTTTCAGGTGCAAGTTCTCTCGCCTTTTTCAACTTGAAGCCAAGCTTTCACGGAAGAGACGATGTTTTGTCTCTGAGTATGACGTGGAACGTTCACATAATATATATATATATATCATCATCAAAAACATCAATTTTGGAAAACCCAGCCAGATTTGATGGTGTTGAATGTTGAACATCATTTTCCCTAGTAAATTTGCCTTCAATTTCGAGGAGAATGGTACACCCATTTTCTGACCCACCATGACACACCAATATTAGTGTGAATGTAACCTGGTCCTCTAATGTCTTAAACATTGATGAAACAACGGGGATACACAATCTCCGAAGAACCTTGGAATCGTATGCTGTAATTCAAATCCATCATATTCCAGAGTGACAAGGAGAATGGCTTGCGCATGGGGATCCAAAGCATTAAATATTTCTTCTCGATTGACCTACGACGTCACGAGCACATACCTCCTAGTTTAAGCTCTACAAGTGCATTCAAGGTTTCTGTGCACAGTCCTGCAATTCTTTGACCTCACTTGGTGATGGAGATGTTTGGTTTGTTGAGGCAACATGGAGGCCGCCTGCTGGTGCTGGAAGGTGGCTCCCTTCATTTGGATGAAGGTGTTCGAAAGGCCTGTGGTGGAACAGTTGGTGCTTGGACGGGCGAGCTAGTTGACTGGCTGGCAACTTCATGGGTAGTATATGGCTGTTATACCATGTTATGCCCCCATCTAACGGATATATGGCAGGTTATATATACCTTACTAAGCCAGTTTGACTAACTTCATGGCCCACCTTTTTTCGGGGATGCCTACCTGGCAGCTTGCATCCAGGATGTATGAGAAATCTCAGATACGGATCGATTAAAAGTGTACCCGCTTGCTGGAATTGCACAAGAAAGTGAAGAATACCATCCTATCGTTTCTATACAAATACTATACAAATACTATCAAATACTGCATTGTGCAGGTCATCTAGACATCAAAGTTGGAAGGTAGATGTCCTTTCAATGGCTCCAATTCAGACCGCCCATGATTGCCACAGAGAACATTTTAATCGTTGATTGGATCAATCTTGAATTTTCGACAATTGTTCAAGAGCCGCAGGTAGAATGCACAGAAAGCGAAGATTTGAGACTCAGATATTCACCGAAAATTCTTATCTCAGTGCTGTCAGTGCAGGCACATCAGCTTTGTGCTGAATTGAATCAAGCAGTGGTGCAAGCCCCAGATGCAGTAGCTTCCTGTTCGGGTTCCCTATGTTTCCCTGGGCTTGAAACATGTGACCCATAGCAATCTAAACGACCAGCCTTTTGACGTTTGTATCCAGAATGATAATCGAATGCCAAGGACTGGATCGGTTCGCTTAGCTGTAATTGAGTATTGGTCACAACCTCATATTTACCTTGTCAAAGTATTCCTGGATATATATATATATATGTATATATATATATATGTGTATGTATATATATATATATATGTATATATATATATATGTATATATATATATATTATATTTATATGTATACATATATATATTCGGTAGATCACCAGTCATTTACCAGTTATATTGATGCGAAAAGCCGGTGAGCACTGAGGATACCGTCTGGCAGAAAGCCCAAAACGCCGACAGTGAAATCAGGTGTGGCATGGGTTCCTTCTTAAAGTGCGAAATGTACCCCACAAGATACCATTTTAATAGGAAAATAGAATGAATAAGGTACTGGTATAAACTGTTGGATTTAAGGTCAATATCCTCGGCAATACTGGCCCAGTACATGAAGAGTGATCCAATACAATCCAATACTCCTACACAGGGTTTCCTTTCGGGGGATTCGTATGAAAACCATTGAAAACCCACCGATCTCAACTGACTTTCATCAGCTGAACTCGTTTAACCCATGGGCCCATGAGGCAGCTACATCTCAACATCTGGAAACAGCGTGGCATGGTTTCAGATGGAGATGGATGATCATTCCAGATGTGCATGTGTGTATACACGTTCATGTGTATTCGTATATATATATATAATAAGCATTATATTTATCATATCATATCCTATCATATCATATATAGCATCGACTGGATATACAATATATTACAATATTCATCCATGTCCATAATATAATTAATTAGATGTGCAATATGCATCTATATAGACATAGAATCTAAGTTAAGATATTGTAGTACCCTTCACTAGACATACATAATTAGTCCTATTACGCGCTGACACCAGCATTTGCCCAAGAACTTACAAGACGTTGATGTATCTTAACATCCATATCATGACATGTTGCTCAGCATAACATCATCATACATTTTCCATCCACGTCATACCATAGCAATTCCAAAATGAAAACATGGAAACAGTAACCCGGTTATATACAATTTAAGATTACAATATCTGGGCATATCTATAGACATAGTACTATTCAATGTTAATCTAAGTTTGATAATCATTAACAATAGGGTGTAATACGACATATGGTAACAAAATACTAATAACTACATACAAATGGTATATCATGGTATATCATTATTATAGACTTAGTTCATCATAGTTCATATTCCCAACTTACCTCGTCTTCGGATCGTCCAAAGCTCCCCCGAACACAAAAAGCGGAGGAGTTTGATCGTCTCCTCGGACACCACTGGCATTGACCTGGACAATATGCAGCAAGCCTTGATCAAGGCAACGTGCGGCAACGTGGATGGGATGGGGATGGTTATGGGATTCACCAACAATGGGGATTTATATTGGAGATTATATATAATGTATATATATATATATACATATGTGTATATATATATATATAGTGTATATATATATGATTATATATGTATAAATATAGGGATTAATCACTGGTATAGATTAACTGGTGCAAACGGGGAATAATCAACACTGGCTGGTGATGTTGCAGCCATAGAATGGTGATTTTTACCATATGTTACTAGCCAAAATGTGACTTCAGAAGCAACCAGGATCAGGAGATAATGGGAGGATACCCCAAAGAATGTAATCTCATTAGGAAAATGATGATTAACAGCTGGGGTTGGGGTTACCCAATTCTCGAACATGCTCACAAATTCGGTTTATGCAGAGTGGGATGTAGATGGGAGTTATAAGTGCTTTGAATTAGTAGCTATTATTAACCATAATTAAATGCTCGGTGGTCCTTTTCCTGCTTCTTTCTTGGTTGAGTAATAAAGGGATTCATGGTCAAGCAGGAAAAAATGAACCTACAATTCCAGAAGGACATTGCTAGACGGGAGAGTCACTTTGAATTTACAGAGATTCTCTGGCGAATTCTGCTGCTGCGGATCTACTGCTTTCACCTTGTTGCCCTGACCTTTGCGATCCTTGCCCACGACGTCGACTTTCCTGGCTAGGTGTCTTAGGTTCCTGGGGAAGCTCAGGGCCATTTCTAACTTCACTTCACCAACACCTACCACCTCACCACTTTCGACCGTACGAGGGCTGGGCATACCGGGGACCGTGTTTCTTGCGCAGCGTGTGACCTCGCTGACCTGGATCCATCCTGTTGCCCTACGCTTGTGGTTTGATGACCGACTGTGAGACTGTGAGATGAATAAAAAGGCGGGTGATGAGTAGGAAGATTCTGCACTGTACCGAGGTTGCCGGAGACTTCAGGAAAAAGTGATGATAAGTAGGTGGAATCATTCTTAAGGGGATGGGAGTATACCGCAGACCCATCTTGTGGTTAAACAGCAAATTCTGTTGGTGGTTGATCCCTTACTCTGGAAATTGTTGGGTGATCAATAAATCATAGCGGCCATGGAACATTGTAAATGTTAATGATTATGAACAGATTATGAAGGGTAACCAATCATAGTGGGTATTGTTGAAATTATATGTAAGTGATCAGCTACATACTTCGGGGAATGGGATTAGAACTACAGTAACTAAGACAAACTATAGAAACTCACCCCGTTTACAATGTACCTTTTTACCTGTTTTACTTGGCGGATAGCATTTGCGATCATTCACCCATTGATTGCCCGAACAATTGGGGAAGATGTTTTTGTTTTCCTCAATCGAACAGTGGGACAAGTGACATCTATCATTTGCAACAATTCACCAACCTGAAGTGCGATTTAGGGATGGTATTAGAGTATCACTCAGATAACCTTAGTATGCGCAATATCTTGCCAAAAAATATTACCAAAGTAGAAATTGTGATGACTTTATCATAATCGTGAGTTAGAACATCCCCTAAATTAGCCGCTAAACTCATGTCCAATTCTGCTATAATCCATTACAATCATATATAATATATTTTAATCCTATATATAGTATATAACCCCATAATACCCCATATATATGAGAGCCGTCCAAAAACCCCAGAAAGGTTTTTAGTAAAGGACCTATTCTCGCATTTTTCCCATGGTCTAAAACCTGCATCGCGCAAGTTTCGCGCAAGGGCGGCCCAAGGTACGCGCAAGCACTATTGTTATCATTATTACAAGTACTATTTTTAGTTAACATTTTGATTACTACTACTACTACTACGACGACGACTACTACTACTACTACTACCACTACTACCACTACTACTACTACTACTACTACTACATTACCACTACTATTACTACTACTACTAGTACTACTACTACTACTACTACAACTACTACTAATACTACTACTACTACTCCTACAATTACTCCTACTATTACTACTACTTTTACTACTACTACTACTACTACTACTACTACTCCTACTCCTACTACTACTACTACTACGACGACTACTACTACTACTACCAGTACTACTACTACTACTACTACTACTACTACTACTACTACTACTACTACTACTACTACTACTACTACTACTACTACCGTATCTGATTTAGATCTTAAATATTAATATCTCGAGTTGATAAACATAGATAACCAGGGTGGTAAATAGGCCATCCAAAGAAAAAGGAGCAGATAGATAGATAGATAGATAGATAAATAGATAGATAGATAGAGATAAAGCAGCCAACACGGTCCGGAAGACATGCAGCAGCAGTCCGGAGATGGTGAGCAGGAAGGTGTTTCAGAGTGGTTTCAGACCTCTTTTGGGCTTGTTTTTTGGTTACCCCCAGCTTTGGGAGATGAAAAAAGAAAGAGAAAAGGTAGAGAAAGAGAGAGACAGAGAGAGGAAGAGGGAAAGAGAGAGAGAGAGAGATAGAGAGAGAGAGAGAGGGAGAGAGAGGAAGATGGAAGATGGAGACAAAAAGAAGGCGAGAGAGAGAGAGAGAGAGACAGAGAGAGGAAGAGGGAGAGGAAAGAGAGAGAGCGTTGTAAATGGTGAGCAGCGGGGTGTTTCAGAGTGGTTTCAGACCTCTTTTTGTCCGTAGGCTACCTCAGCTTTGGAGAAAAAACAGGAAAGAACGGGAAAAGAAAGAAGAGAAGGGAGAAAGAGACAGAGAGAAAGAAGAAGTCTTGAGACGGTGAGCAGGAAGATGTGTCGAACTGGTTTCAGACGTCTTTTGGGGCCGGTTATGGGGCTACCTAGTTCTTAAGACATCCAAAAGAAGGGACTCAAAACATATTGTACTTGAAACACATGCGGTCCGGAAAGACGTGCAACGGTCCGGAAAAGCAAGCACCCAAAACGTACTCTAATCGTAGCGATTGCGGTCCGGAAAGGCATGCAGCGGTCCGGAAAAGCAAGCACCTAAAACGTACTCTAATTGTAGATATCGCGGTCCGGAAAGACGTGCAACGGTCCGGAAAAGCAAGCACCCAAAACGAACTCTAATTGTAGCCATTGTGGTCCGGAAAGACCTGCAGCGGTCCGGAAAAGCAAGCACCCAAAACGTACTCTAATTGTAGCCATTGTGGTCCGGAAAGACCTGCAGCGGTCCGGAAAAGCAAGCACCCAAAACGTACTCTAATCGTAGCGATTGCGGTCCGGAAAGACGCGCAGCGGTCCGGAAAAGCAAGCACCTAAAACGTACTCTAATTGTAGATATCGCGGTCCGGAAAGACGTGCAACGGTCCGGAACAGCAAGCACCCAAAACGTACTCTAATCGTAGCGATTGCGGTCCGGAAAGGCATGCAGCGGTCCGGAAAAGCGAGCACCCAAAACATACTCTTATTGTAGACATTACGGTCCGAAAGACATGCAGCGGTCGGGAAAAGAGGATAGCACGAGACAGAGATGGAGACAAACAGAAGGCGAGAGAGAGAGAGAGAGACAGAGAGACAGAGAGACAAAGAGAGGAAGAGGGAGAGGATAGAGAGAGCGTTGTAAATGGTGAGCAGCGGGTGTTTCAGAGTGGTTTCAGACCTCTTTTTGTCCTTAGGCTACCTCAGCTTTGGAGAAAAAACAGGAAAGAACGGGAAAAGAAAGAAGAGAAGGGAGAAAGAGAGGAGAGACCAAGCAAGCACCCAAAACGTACTCTAATTGTAGCCATTGTGGTCCGGAAAGACCTGCAGCGGTCCGGAAAAGCAAGCACCCAAAACGTACTCTAATTGTAGCCATTGTGGTCCGGAAAGACCTGCAGCGGTCCGGAAAAGCAAGCACCCAAAACGTACTCTAATTGTAGCCATTGTGGTCCGGAAAGACCTGCAGCGGTCCGGAAAAGCAAGCACCCAAAACATACTCTAATCGTAGCGATAGCGGTCCGGAAAGGCATGCAGCGGTCCGGAAAAGCGAGCACCCAAAACATACTCTTATTGTAGACATTACGGTCCGAAAAGATGAGTACGTTTTGGGTGCTTGCTTTTCCGGACCGCTGCTCATCTTTCCGGACCGCAATGTCTACAATTAGAGTGCGTTTTGGGTGCTCGCTTTTCCGGACCGCTGCATGCCTTTCCGGACCGCAATCGCTACGATTAGAGTACGTTTTGGGTGCTTGCTTTTCCGGACCGTTGCACGTCTTTCCGGACCGCATGTGTTTCAAGTACAATCTGTTTTGAGCCCCTTCTTTTGGATGTCTTAAGAACTAGGTAGCCCCATAACCGGCCCCAAAAGAGGTCTGAAACCAGTTCGACACATCTTCCTGCTCACCGTCTCAAGACTTCTTCTTTCTCTCTGTCTCTTTCTCCCTTCTCTTCTTTCTTTTCCCGTTCTTTCCTGTTTTTTCTCCAAAGCTGAGGTAGCCTACGGACAAAAAGAGGTCTGAAACCACTCTGAAACACCCCGCTGCTCACCATTTACAACGCTCTCTCTCTTTCCTCTCCCTCTTCCTCTCTCTGTCTCTCTCTCTCTCTCTCTCTCGCCTTCTTTTTGTCTCCATCTTCCATCTTCCTCTCTCTCCCTCTCTCTCTCTCTCTATCTCTCTCTCTCTCTCTCTTTCCCTCTTCCTCTCTCTGTCTCTCTCTTTCTCTACCTTTTCTCTTTCTTTTTTCATCTCCCAAAGCTGGGGGTACCCAAAAAACAAGCCCAAAAGAGGTCTGAAACCACTCTGAAACACCTTCCTGCTCACCATCTCCGGGCTGCTGCTGCATGTCTTCCGGACCGCGTTGGCTGCTTTATCTCTATCTATCTATCTATCTATCTATCTATCTGCTCTTTAAATGTATTTCCTTGTATGTTGTGTTCAAGTCTTTTCTGTCTGTAAATTGTTCTTTTCATCAAGGTCGGCTAGACCCCCCGAAGGGGTCTGAAACCACTCTGAAACCGCTCTGAAACCACAGAAGTTCAACACGTGCAGAGCTACTTCCCAGTACTACTTCCCAGTACTACTGTGTACTACAAAGCTTGCACAAACCACTTCCCAGTACTACTGTGTACTACAAAGCTTGCACAAAGCACTTCCCAGTACTACTGTGTACTACAAAGCTTGCACAAAGCACTTCCCAGTACTACTGTGTACTTGCACAAAGCTTCCCAGTACTACTGTGTACTAAACTTACTTCCCAGTACTAGTACTACAAAGCTTGCACAAACTACTTCCCAGTACTACTTTGCTACAAAGCTTGCACAAAGTCTTCCAGTACTATTTGTACTACAAAGCTTGCACAAAGTCGTTCCCAGTACTACTGTGTACTACAAAGCTTGCACAAAGCACTTCCCAGTACTACTGTGTACTACAAAGCTTGCACAAACTACTTCCCAGTACACTTTGTACTACAAAGCTTGCACAAAGTCGTTCGCAGTACTACTTTGTACTACAAAGCTTGCACAAAGTCGTTCCCAGTACTACTGTGTACTACAAAGCTTGCACAAAGCACTTCCCAGTACTACTGTGTACTACAAAGCTTGCACAAACTACTTCCCAGTACTCTGTGTACTACAAAGCTTGCACAAAGCACTTCCCAGTACTACTTTGTACTACAAAGCTTACTACTTAGTACTACTTGTGTACTACATGGCTTGCACAAACACTTCCCAGTACTACTGTGTACTACAAAGCTTGCACAAACTACTTCCCAGTACTACTTTGCACTACAAAGCTTGCACAAACTACTTCCCAATACTTTGTACTACAAAGCTTGCACAAACTACTTCCCAGTACTACTGTGTACTACAAAGCTTGCACAAACTACTTCCCAGTACGAAATACTAAGTGAATACTAAATATTTAACATTCGAAAACAAGTACGAGAATAATGATGAAAAACAAGTGAAATGATGAAAGTGATCCGGGAGTGTGGTCGCGCAAGAAACGCGCAAGGTTGGCGCAAGCTCGGCCCAAGAGGCCTTTGTGGGAACAGTAATTTAGGACAACCCCCATATATATACACATACACATGTGTATATATATATATATATGATTATATATCTATAATATATGATTATATATCTATAATTATATAATTATGAAATTCTTATCTTAAATCCCCCTGACAAATGGCTGCCATGATGTCCCAGTCAACACGTCCACCAGGTCACCGGGGGCATGACTCTGGCGCAGCGGGACATCCAGGCGGCAACGACTTCCCAGGGAAAAGAGATGGAAAAAAATCACCAGAAGACTCAGAAGATGGGATTTATATGGATTTATAGGTGTTATATAGTGATCATGGTGATTTATATGGATATATATATATAACATAGAGATAGATAAGACAGATAACTGCGACTGACTATAAAATGACTATACACATGGGGGGGTTTTGAACCAGACTATTGAGGATGGTACTGTTTGATGGTGTTGTTTCGTCAGTTATGATAAGGTGAGATGTTGACAAATGTTATATGACATATATGAGTTCTGATGATTGCTGATACTTTCACCATCTTTACAACACAGGATTGATGATGGTTTATGACAACTGAACCGTGACTATTCATTGATTTGGTTACCTCCAAAATAGTGAAATCAACGACAAAAAGTGCAGTAAAACTATGTAAAACTGGTAAAACTGGAATTTCTGAATGTCCTACTTGGTGGCTCATCCCACTTAGTAAGTGGGTTATAACCCCAGTTATAAATGGGATAAGTAAGGTTTATCCACTTATAACTGGGGTTATAACCCACTTACCAAGTGGGATGAGCCTTGGCCCATCGGCCCATCAGGTGGCGCAGGCGGAACTCTTCGCGCTGGCGCAGAAGTTGGCGCAGACCGATGGGGAGCTGGCGAACACCGCGAGGCGCCACCTGGTGGCTGCGAGTTTCTTCAAGGATGTTCAAGGGTTATTTTCTTGGGGAATAAGTGTTGAGATTAGGTGTTGGATTCTGGATGAGAGGATGTAGAATTGTTATATTTGAGATTGTGAAGAGCTGTACATGGCCGTGTGATTGTAGGCAAGAAGATGCATGTGCTGTACGTGGTTATTTTTAGAGAATCAGAGTAGAGACGTCTATACAGAGGCTGCCCAATGATAACATCTATGTACAGTAAACAAATGTACACATTGCACTCACGGCATGCGTGTACAAACATATATTCATAGATAGAATATCAGATTTCACATATCATATGTCATGTCATATTTCACACACACACACACATATATATAGATTATATATATTATATAGGCTCACGAGGGAACCGGGTAGATGCAGTAAATCCCACCGCGACCATTTTTGAATTGTGAAAGATCCATAGCTCTGGGAGCAATGGCAGACGAGATGAGGAGTCGCTCACCAAGAACAGGCTATGAGGCAGAACAAACCCCGCCAAACGGTGAGCAAGACCAAATTCGCAAAGACCTCCTAGCATTACAAGCCTTAGTCCACACACAAGGAGGCAGGCTCAACACTATTGATCAAAGGTCAGCACATACAAAGGACCAAGTGCAAAAGCAACAGCAACTCGAAGCATCCAAGCAGGCCATTGTCTCCAGCTGGCCAGACTCAGCCGGACCAGCAGACCGCACACAAGCTGTTGAACAGCTGGTCAATCGCCATGACAACCTCAAGGGAAAATACGCAAGCACCACCACCCTTCGCACAAAACAAGGATGGTCCCAATTCAGCATAGTGGAATTCTTCACAAAAGAGGCCAGAAACGAATTTGTGGAGCTTGTGAGAAAGGATGCCCTGATTTGCCATGGACAAATCGCAGTGGGTAGAGCCCAGATCCCCAAATACCAGCGCGAAGCCGACCAACCCCTCCGCTGTGCAATAGCAGTCTTCTCACAACTCACAGGCAAGCAGCAACGCTACAAGCCAACCTGGGAAATGAGCTCAGTATGGCACAACAACGAATGGATCCTCAGCATGCAAACAGCAGAACATGACAAAACCCAAATCACCATCTATGTTGCTGAAGCCCTGAAAGATCAATTCACAGAGAAATACACATCCGAATGGCAGCAGTGGGGCGGACAAAAGGGAACCACACGCAGAGCAGACGGCTACAAGCCACAGGACTTTTTCAACATTCACATCGAGACACTCACCCAGCAGACAGCAGCAGCCCTTGACACACAGTACGCCACACTGCAGCATCAGCGGAAGCAACCCCACACCAAAGATGAGGACGATGAGATGGACGGAGGACTTCCTGACCTGAGAGGGCAGCGCAAAGGTGAGGGCAAGCATGCGGCGCAAAGGCGCCAGTAGGACGCAGCTAACCACCACCCCATACAGCATCAGTTTCGGCCACACCAACTCTTAACGACCATTTCTGATTGGGATAACAAATCTCGCCGCCCAGTAGGCGAGCCGGGCGAACCGCGGGGCGCTGACCCTATGACCATTTCTACCGACCATTTCTTGACAGCACACAGTAATGACACAACATACCACATCCCCAAAAGGCCCCAGCGGCAACAGAGAGAGCAAAACCGGTCCAGCAAAAAACGAGGTTTCAGGTCCGAAGCCGCCCGTTTACAACGACAATGCAACCGACAACAAAAACGCAACGAACAAAGACGCATCTATCGGTGGTGTAAATCTAACATGCTATGCGTAGCAGAGGACCATGGGGGAGGTGGGTTGGGCGCCCGCATCCCAGGTCTAACACGCAAGACTGAAACCTTCATGCCCTTGAAAGACGCGCGTCTAGCTTCACACACGCGCCTCTATGAGGAGCACCGCAACCTCAACAAAGCCAGTGGAACGCAAGTATCTTTAGCATATGGTTTTAAACTCAAAATCGTCACCTTCAACGTCCGCTCCCTTTTGAAAGCAACTATGCACAGACAAATTATTGATCATATGCGCAGGCACGTCATTCACATATTGTGTATGCAAGAGACGAGATCTAAGAACACAACCCAGTATGTAGTTGACAATTTTACCTTCCTGACTGTCAGCACTGTGAATACCAATCAACCAGAGTATGCAGGAGTAGGCTTCGTATTGTCCCCAATGGCCCGGAATGCCCTTTTGCGCACTTCTTTCATTAACAGCCGAATTGCTTGCATCTCAGTGCTTATACGAGGAGGAGAATTAAATATCCTAAATACATATGTACCACAGAATGCCCGACCAGAGGATGAACGTCGAGACCATTTTGAAAAATTACAACAGGCTATTTCCCAAATTGCTCGCAAAGGACCTTTTGTTGTGTTAGGGGACTTCAACCCACGACTTCAAGGCAGACTGCATGGCGAAGAGGATGTTTTGGGACCACACATGTTTGGGAAAGGGTGGACAGCTGTGGGGGAAGAGACCGACAATAGGTTCCTACTTTTGGATTTTTGTCGTGCAAATGATCTAATCGTGGCCAACACATGGTTCCAACAACCGGCAGCCAAACAGGTAACCTTCAAAGACCCGAGTACGCATTTTTTGCCTCCAGATAATACCGATTGGGATCCCGCTAACTTTGCGCAACTGGACTTTTTTGCCTTTTACCTCAGCATTGGCGTAACTCCTGCAAGAATATTTACACCCAGCCAAGAGCAAATTTGGATTCCGACCATTTTCCCGTTGTTCTGTGCTTGCAAGTTAAACTCGGAGCTAAACCAAAGGCGGCACATCGCCCACGTTGGGACTTCCAACAGGCAACGGCAGCCCAAATAGATGCAATGAACGACACAATCACTACAATGCTCGAATCGGAGATACCTTACCAGGACCCTACCGCTCGATGGGGCACCCTAAGTACATTGTATGCCCAAGCCATCGACACCCACATACCAAAACAAACCCTTCAACCTAAACAACCATGGATCACACAAACTACATTGAATCTCCTGGAGAGAAGGGGGCAGCTCCGCCAACAAGGCGACCTAGCGCAAGTAGCTGAACTCAACAAGACAATCAGAAAGGCAGCAAAACTTGACAAACGCAAATGGCTAGAAGAGCGGCTTAGCACAGATGACTGGAGACCCATCACCAATCTGAAGAAGCCGTTCCCGCACAAGGCGTTCACACTAACGGACACTACCGGGCCGGGACCGCCCAGGAGCAACGCGGAAATTTTCGCTACTCATCTAGCCACCAAACAATGGCAGGAAGCAGGGCAACCGCAAGGACTAGACACCACACCTGTCTATCAGAATCCTCCGACCATTTCTGAAGCGACCATTTCTATCGAAGAATTAAAATTGGCAGTGAAACAATCAAAAGCAGCCAAACGAGCTGGTAAAGACAATATCCCAAACGATTTCTGGAAACGACTAGAGGGACGGGGCTTGGACGCGTTGGTTTCATTGTTTCAATTGTGTTGGGACTCCCAAACTAGTCCACAACAATGGAAACTTGCCCAAGTAGTAGGTATTTTTAAGAAGGGTTCTGCAACCGACCCGGCCAACTACCGACCTATAAGTTTGCTCCAAACGTGTTATAAATTGTACGCTCGCATTATCGCTAACAGATTGGCAGCAGGGCTAGATGACCGGATTAGGGAGCTGCAATTTGGATTTAGGAAGGGACGGAGTACATCTGAAGCAATATACCTAGTCAGACGGCTACAAGACCTAGTTGACGCCAAGAAATATCAAGTACTTTACCTTATGTTCCTTGATTGGAGCAAAGCATTCGACAAGATTAGGCCACCCGCACTGCATCTTGCGTTGCAGCGACTCGGAGTGCCCAATCACATGTGCGCAGTGGTGAAAGAGTTAGTTAGCAACCCTCTTTTTGAAGTAATTCTGGATGACCAAATCTCTAGCTGCAAGGAGCAGAAGAGCGGCATCCGCCAAGGATGCACATTAAGTCCGCTGCTATTCATTCTCCTTCAAACGGTGTTGTTCTACGATGTCCAAACTAAGTACCTTGCCAAGCACCCCTTGTCAGTTACCCCTCAAATCCCATTCTTCGACATAGAGTTTGCTGATGATACAGTCTTAATCGCAAGGACAAGGGAACACATGCAGGACCTCTTGTGGTACGTGCAGGATGAAGCTTCCAAATACAATTTACATCTGAACATGGATAAAACTAAACTAGTTCTATACAACAGTGACGCTTCCATTGCCTTTCGAGATGGCAGCTTAGTTCAGCAAGTATCCTCGATTGTATATTTAGGGGGGCTTATTGACCAAACTGGTAAACCTGGTCCAGAAGTTCGGCGACGGATAGGTGAAGCTAGGCAGGTATTCCAGAAATTAAAGCGTGTTTGGAGACATGCAGGGCTATCGGTTCGTAAAAAGCTTCGCATCTACAAGGCATGCGTTGTGTCCAAACTCATTTATAACCTCTCCACACTATGGCTCACCGACTCCCAGTTAAATCATGTTGATTCCTTCCACTTTAGATGTTTACGAGCTATTGCTAGCATCCCTACTACTTGGGGTGCCATGCAACAAGGTATAACCAGGGTCAGCAACCATGAAGTTCGAATGCAGTTGCGTGAAACGCTGTTGAGTCAAGAAATACGGCTCCACCAGCTAAAATTGCTAGGGCACATCTTGAGAAGGCCAATTAGACATCCATCCCGCATTGTGTCCTACAACCGGTTCCTTGAACCGCAAATCCTGGGGGGCCCTTTTCGGGCTGGCGTAAGAAGAGGCAAATGGACCGAAAACGTTATGGCCTTGGCCATGACCATTTTTAATGACCATTTCTTTGAAGGGGCAGGCGGGCAAAGAAACATTAAAGATAAAATTATAGAGGTGGCCGCAAACCGGGGGTGGTGGTTTCAAGTAGTTGGCGCTGTTAGATTTAGGTGGCGTCGCCTACGGGAGGGCCACGAGAACGGCCGCGCCCATGGCAGTTAAAAAATATATATATATATTATATTTATATATATACACTGTATATACATATTGATATGTACATACCCATGAAAACTACCATGAGGTCTATCAAGGCAGTTACCCCATGTCTCGGAACGGCACGGCAGGCGCTTGGATGTGGTGCACGACTACTGGAGTGGCTTTAGCCGAGGCTTACAGGCACGGCCACGGGTTCTGGGTGGCGGGGGGTGGATCGAAAGAAAACAGGAGTTGCTCATGGAAGTGACCACTATGGAATAATGAAATTATCAAAAATTATTATGGTCAGTACTACAGGACATAAGTTTGATTGGTTCTTACGGTCACTATTGGAATACCCATATACATACACAATCCCATGCTTTAGTAGTTCATTCTTATTTTTTCACGTGTTTTCTTCCCATTTGACTTGAATGGCGACGGGTCAACAGCTGTTACCTGTGGAGCCTACCCGAATTGGTAGGGACATGTTGCAGGACATGCCTACAATTGAGCTGAGAAAAGCCGATGGTTTCCTATCGATTTTCCAGTTATAAAATGCCACAATATTAAGCACATCCAATGGGCCTGGCGTCCTGCAGGACACGGAACATGAGGTTTTCGAGGGCAAGTCTGGGATGTTGCTGAAGAAGGCCATGGTTCAGCGTCTGGTGGGTGGGTCGTTACCCAGTAAGTTGGGTGATTAAGATGTCATGAGATCCTGAAGTAATTAGCTGATGTTAGCTGTATATAGCACTCCGCAAAAAATGGTTCTAGAAACGTTGGACACCTAGGAATTGTGGAAAAACACCATCTATACTTTCCTGGACATACGGTTCTATATTATCTCTTGGTGAGTTACTGTACTATGACTACTTGTCCACAGCATCCACAGAGATCTTGGGCCATGCAACAGATTGGAGGTTTCCATAGCCATGGGGATACCCCAATAGATCTATGGTTTATTTCCTGGAAAATCCACAAAACATTGGGGATAGCCCTATATTAGGAAGCCTCCAGATGATCCATCAGTGCTTCACCTGACCATCAACTGGGAGCTTGAAATCCGTCCCTCAGACGAGGCTACGGGATAGAAGTAGGACCGAGAACCTCAGAATCATGATCCATCAAGACCCATGACTTCCTCTTGGGATGAATTCTTAGTGGTTCCGTATCTATACATGAGGTAAGCGCGATAGACTTCCTCATTTATACCCCCATTGCTTCATGGTGGCGTCTGAGTTGTGGCAGGCTGAAACCCGGCCTCGTCAGCTACCAGCTTTACCTTCATCGCCAAGGTCGGGTCATGACTTGCCGAGTACGGAGCTACAGACGCTAGGTATGAGGAATATCAAAGGGTATTGGCACTCAGAAATCTTTCACTGTGACTAGTTCAGTAGTATGGTGATCCAAAAAAACATATACTACCAATACATACCAATACATATCAATACTAGAATATTGAACTAGCTAACCATACTCTGGGGCGACTTTTCACTGTAGATCTATACAGTAGAATGATAGGTCACCATGGCCCATTTTGTGCCCAACGCTGCAGGCCCCATTCCACCAATGCCCAACGGATCTGCGATCCAGGTGCCCTGAAGGGAATGCGGGGGGGCTAACCCGGGTGTAAACATGATGACAACACCAATTAATAAGGGAATGCCTGGTTTGAGAACCACGATTATAAGCCAGTTGTACATGAGATAACTAGATTAACTACGATCACCAGGCTTGTTGACAAACGACCTGATTGCAGCAGCTGGCGGACTTGTGGACCATGGAACATGTATACCAAATAAAATAGATCCTAAGAATTTTGAAGTAGGTAAAACATCAATAGGATGCTTCCACTGGGCTGCTGTACCCGGGTCAAAATTTTGGAGACCGAGAGAGTGATTCCTGGGGCCAAACGGTTCGCCATGGTTAATCTGTCGGTGGTAGGACACCACCATCATGGTGAACACTATTGAAACAACCTTCGTCAGTTCAGTAGCCATCCTAGCTAATATCGCAGATGATTCATGTTGCCCCAATTTTTTCGAGGTCAACATGCCAACAATTCCATACAGTTCCCACATTTGTTGATTTATATACAAGAAAAATGTATATAAGTATATAGTAAATTATCGCAACTACTAAAGATGTATCGTACCTATGACCTAACTTATGTATTCTATACATACTGATGTTGTCTTTTGCTCATCTCCCCACTTGAATCCCTGTGCTTCTGCGCAGGTGAGCCCATGCCTGCAAGGCCATCCACATCCATGATGTGAGGCCGGCAGCAGGGCTGTCGTCTTAATGCAGCTATGAATAGCTGGATGGCTTGGAAATGCTTGGAACTTCTATGAATATCTTTGCAATTCTTGGAGTCTCGGAAAATCGCAGATCTGCGGTGCTGCAGGTGACAGATGCGTCAGATCAACGGAGCAGACTGGAGAGATGCTCTGACAAGGGCAAACCTACACATTGCTTTGAGGCTCAAAGAATTCCCGAAAATGAGTGAACTATGGTGAATCAACAATAATCAACACGAGAACTCCCAATGAATGATCTGCCTCCAGCTCTTCCAAATTTGCGGGAGAAGACCTCCCGTCGTTTGAAGTAGGGGCCGCAAGAAGCGGTACCGACCGCTTCTTCCAACTGTTTCCTCAGGCTAGGCAAGAATTCCTGAAACAAACTGCTTGCATCTAGCTCTAGCTGCAATATGCAGACATGTTGACTAGGTGTGATTGGTGCTTTCAATGCACAGGTGGATAGAAAATGTATATGCGGTGTGTACTTAGATGGACTCTAGTATTCTGTCATACCTATACGCAGAGGTCTGAACACTTGGAGATGGCAATCCAAAAACTGGGTGCCATCGATGCCGATTCCAAAAGGGAAAAGGGGGCGGGCTGCGAGAGCGTCAGCTGAATGAAACAATAAGATTGTTTAGTCCCAGACAAGGGTATTTAAACACCACCTGCTGATGGTCTAGTTTATATTAATTATATGGTATGTGGGCGAGTTTTTTATTTTTCTGATGAATATCATATCATTTCCAGATACTGGTACACAGATAGAGATAGACATGTATCATGTAGATGTGGGACGCGTTCATTCCTTACCCTTCACCAACCACAGAGATTGTGCGCTCAGCTGAGGCCCGATTTGGTGCCTTGAAAGCTGCCAGACGGGGCCTCATGGGCAAGCCATGAGGTAAACCTAGTATCACCTAGATCACCTAGCCATAAACCATCCCCAATTAGAGTTGATGAATTTGGTGTACCCCTATGACATCCTACTGGGATGATGTTTATTCGCCTCAGATGGTGAGTAGAGTCCCGTTCATGGCATTGGGTTCACAGGCTGTAGATCCCTGGTGTCCAAGAGCAGTACCAATCCTTAGGTGGTTCAAACTCTTACCCTCTGGCGAACATAGCCATTGAACATGGCCATGCTTAATGGGACAATAATCTATAGAGATTGGATGATTTGGGTAATTTTTGATTGGCTATGTTGAATTGCCAGAGGGTATGAGTTTCCATCATCCACAGCTGTTGTGGCATGACTTATGAATAGAAGCAACGTTGTGGAAGATTCGTGTGGATGAATGTGATCCGAGATCGAGACCGTGTGTTCAATCGATCGAAATGATAAACTTGTGCTGCCTGAACCTCAACCAAGCTATATATGTTACCTACATGTTGGCAACTTTTTCGGGGGTCCATGTTGGTAAAAGATGTAAAGCATACACCGTTGACCATGTTGACGCGTGTTGTATCAATATAGCAACATTGTTACCAACATTTACCTTAAACATGTTTGTTGATTAGTAATATGTACATATATAATCATATATACATGAATATGTATATATATATATATTTATATAATATTATATATACATAGTTACATACATATACCAATATTTTTCCCCATACATTTGCACATTTCGGTAAATGTACCATCCAGAGGCCCCCTTCCTGGATGAGCGCTGGCGCGCCCCAAGGCCTGGAAGAGGTCGGCATCGCGCAGATTCCACGCTCCGAAAGCAAGGCCCCGGCAGCGGCGTTCGGATGCTGGATAGCTATGGAAAATGGCCTATATTTGATATACCCATTAAAAATTGCAATTTTCCATAGTTATGTTAGTTTACCAGAGGGCATTGGGAAAGTTAAACCGACTTTTTATTGGCGACTACCATGTGATTTTGACATGGAACCCAAATTAGATAAGCCATATGTTATGTATTAACTCAGAAGTTGTAGGGCATCACATCCAGACACGGCAAGATCGCAGGATGACTTCATGGATCTGGGCGACGCGGTGGAAGACTACATGGAGGACCATGACGTCATTGCATGGTCATGTTTCAGATCAATTTCAGCACCTGTTTGTCTCACTAGTTGGGTCGCTGAGAAAGTCGTTCCGATCGCAGGAAATCGTGGATTTTGATGCCTACAATGAATTATGACAATAAATCCGAAGAAAAATGAGGAAATCATATTTGAGGTATGGAATTGACACTGCATATATTATCGAAGGATATCGAAGGAAGTTTAGAAGTCAAACTTCCGACAATATGGACAGATGAAAAGCAGAGAGGGGAAGAGTCAGAGAGAAGAGAAGAGTAGAAGAGAGAAGATCAGAGAAGAGAAAGAGTCAGAAGAAAGAAGATGCAGATGCGCGAAAAGGTAGGAAAGTCGCGAAACACTGTGTTTTTCCATGTTTTTCCAATGATTTGTGGCTCTGGAGGGTCCAAAAGTAGGCTCGCCAAAGCGGCGGGTGCGGAGCCATCTTGCCAGATGAGAGATGAAAAAGTGCACGCCGTTGTGGCGCGAAGCACATTTGCAAGTGAAAAAGCTAAAACACCTTACATTCGGAGCACTTTTGGAAGTTGAGATGTCGAAAAAGTACACGCCGTTGTGGCGCGAAGCACATTTGCAAGTGAAAAAGCTAAAAACGCCTCACGTCCGGAGCACTTTTGGAAGTTGCGATGTCAAAAAAGTGCACGCCGTTGTGGCGCGAAGCACACTTGCAAGTGAAAACGCTACACACGCCTCACGTTCGGAGCACTTTTGGAAGTTCCGATGTCGAAAAAGTGCACGCCGTTGTGGCGCGAAGCGCATTTCGAAGTCAAAATGTACAAAAACACACCATGTACGGACCACTTTTGGAAGTTGAGATGTCGAAAAAGTGCACGCCGTTGTGGCGCGAAGCACATTTCCAAGTCAAAATGCACAAAACACACCATGTACGGACCACTTTTGGACGTTCAGATGTCGAAAAGTGCACGCCGTTGTGGCGCGAAGCACGTTTCCAAGTCAAAAAGCACAAAACACACCATGTATACGGACCACTTTTGGACGTTCAGATCTCGTTTCACGTGGCACCCGCAAGGGATTGTGCACCTGAGCAAAACGTGAGGGTTTTGTAGCATTTCCAAAAACGATGGCAGGTGTGGGAGATTTGAAGAGGATCTGCAAAGATGCATTTTCCGTGGCAGGTGCAGTGCAAGAGACATCTTCATCGGAGCTGTTAGGAGGTGAGGGAGCTGATTTCCCAAGAGGGCTTGCATTTTGGAGCATCAGATCTTCAGTTTTGGGAGGATGATTTTGCGTGACAGGTGCAGCACTTCGTATGACCTGGTATCACTTTTTCGTGGCAGGCGCAGTACTTTCGACAGGTGGACTGGAAAAATCGCAAAACGCATTGGTACGAGGCTGTCAGCTCTGCACTCAACTTTCCATTTTTGAAGGAAGTCTCGCAGAATTGCTTCGTTTTTGATGTTGTGAAGTTCAAAAACTGAAGTGGTCGCGCAGAATTGCTTCGTTTTGGATGTTGTCCAGTTCAAAAAAAGAAGAAGCCTCGCAGAATTGCTTCGTTTTTGATGTTGTCAACTTCGAAAAATGAGGAAGTCTCGCAGAATTGCATCGTTTTTGATGTTGTCAACTTTGAAACATGAGGAAGTCACGCAGAATTGCTGCGTTTTTGATGTTGTCAACTTTGAAAAATGAAGAAGTCTCGCAGAATAGCTAGGTTTTTTCAAGCTTGCAGATAGGCAGGTGGACAGACAGACAGACCGAGAGATAGCTAGATAGATAGCTAGATAGATAGATAGATAGATAGGTGGGTAGGTAGGTAGGTAGGTAGGTAGGTAGAGAGAGAGAGAGAGAGATAGAGAGATAGAGAGATAGAGAGATAGAGAGATAGAGAGATAGAGAGGTAGAGAGGTAGAGAGATAGAGAGATAGAGAGATAGAGAGATAGAGAGATAGAGAGATAGAGAAATAGAGAGATAGAGAGATAGAGAGATAGAGAGATAGAGAGATAGAGAGATAGAGAGATAGAGAGATAGAGAGATAGAGAGATAGAGAGATAGGAGATAGAGAGATAGAGAGGATAGAGAGATAGAGAGATAGAGAGATAGAGAGATAGAGAGATAGAGAGATAGAGAGATAGAGAGATAGAGAGATAGAGAGATAGAGAGACAGAGAGATAGAAGCTAGATAGATATGTAGGTAGGTAGATAGGTAATTAAATAGATAATTAAAAAAAAAAAGGAAAAAAAAGAAATAATGAGAGAAATCAATCACCTTTCGATCCATCAATGATTCCGCTCTGCCATCTTTGATTTATAACAACTAATCTCTCTTGTAGGTTTCCTATTTTTGAAATTTCCGTTATCGCCTTGTGCGGTATTACATATATCTCTTAAAAATATATTTATATATATATGGTGAAATTAGATATTTTTAATTAACATATTTTTAGATATATGGGATGGATTTTTATTTTTAATATATTTTAATTTTGCTATTCCCCCTTATTTTCTCTTTTAAAAATCTTAAAGGGAATGGAAATTACAATTAATAAAAATATATATATAATTATATATTTTATCAATATATTATTTTATATTTTTTATATAATTATATATAATATTTATTTTATATTCGAAATTATTAATATTTGGGAATTTTGGATTTTAAAACAAAATTTTAAATTTATATTTTTTTAACAAAATAATAATAGATTATTAAGGAAATTTAGAAGGAATCTAATTTATAATATTAATGCTAGGATTAAATCGTATTAGGTCGTAAAAATCGTATT